CGTGCCGAAATGAAACTTCGGACGAACTCCCTGTGGTGCCAGGGCCACGATCCTCAAGAGGGGTGTGCCGAAATGTTGATTCGCTGGAGCTCCCTGTGGGGCCAGGGCAACGATCCTCAAGAGGGATGTGCCGAAATGAAGCTTCGGTGGAGCTCCTTGTTGGGCCAGGGCCACGATCCTCGATAGGGGTGTGCCGAAATGAAGCTTCGGTGGAACTCCCTGTGGGGCCAGGGCCACGATCCTCGAGAGGGGTGTGCCGAAATGAAGCTTGGGTTGAGCTCCCTGTAGGGCCAGGGCCACGATCCTCGAGAGGGGTGTGCCGAAATGAAGCTTGGGTTGAGCTCCCTGTAGGGCCAGGGCCACGATCCGCGAGAGGTGTGTGCCGAAATGAAGCTTCGGTGGAGCTCCCAGTTGGGCCAGCGAGCTCCCTGTGTGGCCAAAGGCACGATCCTCAAGATGGGTGTGCCGAAATGAAAATTTGGTAGCGTTCCTTGTGGGGCCAGGGCCAAGATCCTCGAGAGATGTGTGTCGAAATGAAGCTTCGGTGCAGCTCCCTGTTGGGCCAAGGCCACGATCCTCGAAAGGTGTGCGCCGAAATGTAGCTTTGGTTAAGCTCCCTGTGGGGCCAGGGCCGCAATCCTCGAGAGGTGTCCGCCGAAATGAAGCTTCGGTGGAGCTCCCTGTGGGGCCAGGGCCACGATCCTCGAGAGGGGCGTGCCGAAATGAAGCTTCGGTGGAGTTCCTTGTGGGGCCAGGGCCACGATCCTCGAGAGGGGCGTGCCGAAATGAAACTTCGGATGGGCTCCCTGTGGTGCCAGGGCCACGATCCTCAAGAGGGGTGTGCCGAAATGTTGTTTCGCGGGAGCACCCTGTGGGGCCAGGGCCACGATCCTCGAGAGGGGTGTGCCGAAATGAAGCTTCGGTGGAGCTCCCTGTGGGACCAGGGCCAAGATCCTCGAGAGGGGCGTGCCGAAATGAACCTTCGGATGAACTCCCTGTGGTGCCAGGGCCACGATCCTCGAGAGCGGTGTGCCGAAATGAAGCTTCGGTGGAGCTCCTTGTGGGGCCAGGGCCGAGATCCTCGAGAGGGGTGTTCCGAAATTAAGTTTTGTTGGGGCTCCCTGTGGAGCCAGGGCCACGATCCTCGAGAGGGGTGTGCCGAAATGAAGCTTCGGTGGAGCTCCCTGTGGGGCCAAGGCCACGGGTGTGCCGAAATGAAGCTTCGGTGGAGCTCCCTGTGGGGCCAGGGCAACGTCCTCGAGAGTGTGCCGAAATCGGGCTTCGGTGCAGCTCCTTGTGGGTCCAGGGCCACGATCATCGATAGATGCATGCTAAAATGAAGCTTTGGAGAAGCTCCCTGTGGCGCCAGGGCCACGATCCTCGAGAGGGGTGTGCCGAAATGAAGCTTCGGCGGAGCTACATGTCGGACCAGGGCCGCGATCCGCGAGAGAGATGTTCCGAAATGTAGCTTTGGTTAAGCTCCCTGTGGGGCCAGGGCCACGATCCTCGAGAAGGGTGTCCGCCGAAATGAAGCTTTGGTGGAGCTCCCTGTGGGGCCAGGGCCGAGATCCTCAGGAGGGGTGTGCCGAAATGAAGCTTGGGACGAGCTCAGCTCCCTGTGGGGCCAGGGCCACGATCCTCGAGAGGGATGTGCCGAAATGAAGCTTCGGTGGAGCTCCTTGTGAAGCCAGGGCAGCGATCCTCGAGTGGGGTGTGCCGAAATGAAGCTCCGGTGGAGCGCCCTGTGGGGCCAAAGCAACAACCCCGTGGGGAGGTCCACCGAAATGAAGCTTCGGTGGGCCTCCCTAAGGGATTGTTGCTGGTTGCTGGTTGCTGGGGGGGGGGCTCGGGGCCCCAACCCCCGCTTGTTCCAGCAGCAACAACAACAACGCTCCCGCTCGAGACTTCCCCCGTTTTTACTCAGGGTTGGTGTTCTTGCTCGCCGCCGAAACCCGCCGTCCTAGCAAAACCAGCGCTCCCGCTCGAGACTCCCTCCCTGGCGCGCTAGTTCTTCTCTCATCGGCGCCGCCCCCAGCAAAATCAACGTTCCCTCTCGGGGCCTCCTCCCTTTTTTACTCAAGGCGGTGCTCCTCGTCGCCGCCGAAAACCACCGCCCCGACAAAACCAGCGCTCCCGCCCGATACTTCCTTCCGTTTTACGCTGGACTTGCGCCCTACTCTCTTTTGAATTGGCGCCGCTCCCAGCAAGAACAACGCTCCCGCTTGAGGCCTCCTCCCTTTTGCCTGAAGACGATGCTGTTCCTCGCCGCCGACAAACCCCGGCCCGACAGAACCACAGCTCCCGCTCGATGTTTCTTCCCTTTCTTACTCAAGGCGGTGTTCTTCCTCGCCGCCGAAAACCACCGTCCCGACAAAACCAGCTCTTCCGCCCGAGACTTCCTTCCGTTTTACGCTGGACTGGCGCCCTACTCTCTTTTGATTTGGCGCCACTCCCAGCAAGAACAACGCTCCCGCTCGAGATTTCCTTTCTTTTTCCTTGGGACGGTGCTGTTCCTCGCCGCCGACAGCCCCCGTCCCGACAAAACCACGGCTCCCGTTCGATGTGTCTTCCTTTCTTATTCTTGGCGGTGTTCCCCCTCGCCGCCGAAAGCCGCCGTCCCAACAAAACCAGCGCTCCCGCTCGAGAATTCATGTTGTTTTACGCTGGACTAGCGCCCTACTCTCTTCAGCATTGGCGCCGCTCCCAGCAACAACAGTTGCCCTGCTCGAGACGTCCTCCCTTTCTATTCAGGGCCAGGTCCTTGCCTCACCGCCGACAGCCCCCATCCCCACCAAGGCAATCCTGTCGTTCGATACTTCCTTGTGCTTTACCCTTCGCTGGGGTTCAACTGGCGGTCTCGCATCGGCGCAGCAGGGTGCGGGCATGTGTTTTCGAGGCGGGATATGTTGAAGTTACTCGGAGGAGATGTTTGCAATACTTCATTGGGCGGGAGACTTGGGAATGGGAATAACGGACCCCGCTATAGAACAAGAGTCCCCCATAGTGTGGATGGTTAGCATGATGGTCGCATGCTTCGTGTGGAAACATCGCGCATGAGAGTAAATTGAGTTGCAATAGAAGTAGTAGTAGTAGTAGTAGTAGTAGTAGTGATAATAGTAGTAGTAGACGTAGTCGTCGTCGTAGTCGCAGTGGTAGTAGTAGTCTTATTTGTAGGCTTCATAGTCGTAGTAGTATTAGTCGTAGTAGTAGTAGTAATAGTAGTAGTAGTAGTAGTAGTAGTAGTAGTAGTAGTAGTAGTAGTAGTAGTAGTGGTAGTGGTAGTGGTAGTGGTAGTCGTAGACGTAGTAGTGGTAGTACTAGTAGTAGCATTGGTACTCGTTGCAGTAGTATGGGGGGTAGTAGTGGTAGTATCAGTACTTGTTAGATTACTCGTAGTAGTCGTAGTCGTACTACTAGTATTACTAGGAGTAGTAGTAGAAGTAGTAGTAGCCGTAGTAGTAGTAGTAATCGTAGGCGTAGTCGTAGTAGTCGTTGTCGTTACCGTGGGATTCCGCGTAGTAAACGTTATAGTAGTAGTAGTAGTGGTAGTAGTAGTAGTAGTAGTAAGTAGTAGTAGTAGTAGTAGTAGTAGTAGTAGTAGTAGTAGTAGTAGTAGTAGGAGTAGTAGTAGTAGTAGTAGTAGTAGGTGTTGTCGTGTTAGTAGTTTCTGTCGTAGTCGCGTTTCTAGTCGTAGTAGGCGTAGTCGCAGTAGTCCTAGTAGTAGTCGTCGTAGTCGTAGTATTTGAGGTAATTGTCGTATTGGTGGTGGTCGTCGTAGCAGCAGTAGTAGTAGTAGTAGTAGTAGTAGTAGTAGTAGTAGTAATAGTAGTAGTAGTAGCAGTAGCAGTAGTAGTAGTAGTAGTAGTAGTAGTAGTAGTAGTAGTAGTAGTAGTAGTAGTAGTAGTAGTAGTAGTAGTAGTAGTAGTAGTAGTAGTAGTAGTAGTAGTAGTAGTCGTAGTAGTAGTAGTAGTAGTAGTAGTAGTAGTAGTAGTCGTGGTGGTGGTGGTGGTGGTGGTGGTGGTGGTGGTGGTGTGTGGTGGTGGTGGTGGTGGTGGTGGTGGTAGTAGTAGTAGTAGTAGTAGTAGTAGTAGTAGTTGTTGTTGTAGTTGTAGTAGTAGTAGCAGTAGTAGTAGTAGCAGTAGTAATGGTAGTATCAGTTGAAGTCGTAGTCGTAGCCGTAGTAGTTAGTAGTAGTAGTAGTAGTAGTAGTAGTAGTAGTAGTAGTAGTAGTCGTAGTCGTAGTCGTAGTCGTAGTCGTAGTAGTAGTAGTAGTAGTAGTAGTAGTAGTAGTAGTAGTAGTAGTAGTAGTAGTAGTAGTTGTAGTTGTAGTTGTAGTTGCCGGAGTAGTTGTGCACGCAACTCGGCGTGGCACGTTCCCCTAGCTCGTCCTCCGTCGCGTTTCCTTGCTCGTCCCCGGGCGTTCCCTTGCCCGTTTCGCGGCGGGCCCCTTGCAACGTCTCTTGGCATGACGCCTTCTGGCCGCCCCATGGCACGCGTTTGGCACGTCCCGTGGCAGGTCCCTGACACGTCCAGGGCACGTCCCCTGATGCGTTCCCTGGCACATTCCCTGCCGGATCTCCTCGTACGCCCCTGGCATATCCTGTGGCGCGTCCGTGAGCTTGTGCCCCTTGTCGTGTCGTTCCTTGCCGGAGCTGAGTCGAATTTTGAGGTCGAGTTGATTGAACGTCCTCCACGTTTCCACTTCAACTTGCTCTGGGGCGGCCATTGTGTGCTCAGGCAGCTCGAGTTCAAGATCCGTATCAGTTCGGTCAGGACTCGAACGCTGAGGAGGACTCGATCCACAACGCTATAGAGCACACTCGCGGCATGGCACATCGCAATTCGGCACGGCAGAGCACAGCACAGCCCTTGGCACGGTACATCAAGGTAGGTGCAGTCAGCATTGCAATTGCCCGTCGCCCACCCAGGTGTTTTGAATCACGTTGCCAGGCTTCGTATCTGTATTTGTTTCCTGGTTCTTGGGTCGATCATGTTTGCAGCTCTGCAGGAATGTGAGCATTCGTCTCGTGGTCCTTTCCCCGAGCAGCCGTGTTTCAACCACTGCTCCCGGACTTCTGGCCGCTACGGAATCTACGGGCTCGCGCCGAGGGTTTCCAACCGCGCCGGTGGCATCGTGCCCCAGCGATGGCAGTTCTGCAAAAGTGCGAGCATCGTCTCAGCGTCCCTTCCCCGAGCTGCCGTATCTCAACCGCTGCTCCCAGGATTGTGGCCGCTACGGATCCTACGGGCTCACACCGAGGGCTTCTAGCCGCGCCGGTGGCATCGTGCCCCGATTTTCCATGTGCAGCGCACTCCGCGAGACGTGGCGCCGAAATCGCTTGACAGGAAGGAGGTTCACAGCCCACGAAGGAGGAATGGGGGAGGGCGGTCAGGAGGGGAAGGGGAGCGCGAGAGGAGAAGAACGGGGAGCGGGGGGCCAATCTGATGGGAAGGGGAGGGGCCCTTCTTGCACCCTGGTGGGTGGGCGGCACCCACGAGGGGCTAGCAATGCTGTCCCCCCCACTGATTTATGATGTCCCAAACTACTTTAGCCTTGACCACCAGAAAGAAGATCGAGCACCAGAAAGTATCGGAATTGGAGGTTTTTGGCGTATCGGGCCCTGGGAGGCGATACTCGCTCAACTGACACTTCGCTAGCGTGTCGGGCTGACAGTCGATACTTTCTCGAAATGATTTTGTATTTTAGCGCATTCCGCCGGCTCATATTGCCTCGCCGTTGTCGTGTGTCGGGGTGTTGTTGTCAATGCAGTGCCATTGGGCGGCTGCCATTTTTTGGAGGCGGTGGGTGGTGGGTCAGAGGCCTCCTGGATGTTGGTTGAGCTGTAGTGGTTTGCCTCTCGGGGGCCTCTGGGAGGCAGTTTTGAGGCCTCCGGGGCCGTGTTGGGGCTTCTCGGGGTGCCTCTTGGGGGCCCCTTGGGGCCTCTTGGGGGTCTCCTGGGGCCTCCTGGGGGCTTGGGGCTGAAGGCTGGACTTTTCGGTTCCTGGTCCCTTTTCTGGGCCCCTCTTGGGGTCGTTTTGGAGCCCTCTTGGGCCGTCTTGGGGCCCTCTTGGGCTCTCTTGGGCCCATCTTGGGGGCGCGTTGGGCCGTCTGCGGACCAAGTTGGAGGCCCCTGGGGCAGTTCTGGGCGTTGTGAACCCCCAAACGTCGCACATGCGAAACATGTACGTTTTCGGAAGGGAATAAAACGATGTTTGCTTGCTGGGGCCCTCTTGGAGAGCCCCTTGGGGCTTTTTCGCTGCCTCTGGGGCCATCTGGAGACCACCTTGAGCGTCTTGGAACGATCTCTCGGCGACTCGGGGCCTCTTGGTCCGTGTAGGGGGCGTCCTGGCGCCCTCTTGGCGCGCTCCTCGAGCGCCTTGGGGGAGTCGGCCGGGCATCGCCTGGGGTATTTTTCACCTGGGGGTCCCCAGGGGCCCCACGCGCGCGCGAACTAGAAATACTACTGACCTGCTACTGGAGATCTTAGCACGCCCCTGGCCCGTTAGGCTGGCGAGTACGGTAGGATCATCATAACCCAGGGGCAGGAGGAGGGGGAGGGGAATGGAGAGGGGGAGGAGGAGGAGGAAGAGGAGGAGGAGGAGGAGGAGGAGGACCAGTGTAAACCCAAGAGTCATCAACGATGTTGGAGTAAACCCTCCCTCGAAGCTCCCTCTTCATAGGCCCCTACAACGGTTCATTTCCATTGATAGAACTGCCTCGTTGGAAGACACCAGTTTGATGACCCTGAAGCATGCCAAAATATTGTTCTCGGGATTCCAACGCCACGGACCAATCTGATTGTAGTGGCCTCCGGCCAGCGCCGCCGATGGGGGGCGCTCCGACTGATGTGATCCTCCTTCGCCCTCGTCCCTCCTCTCTTTTTCCCTCCCTCCCCTTCTCACTCTGCATTTATCGAAGACGCCTACGGCGAATCATCACCGCCGCCCCCTGCCTTTGTGGAAGCGCCTATGTGGCCGAACGTTGAGGCCAGACCTGCCAAGCCATCGGACCATGTGTTCCCCGAATCGGTTTGGAAAGCCTTCGGGGAACACGTGGGCGTCTTGATGGTCATCGTCGCCATCTTGGAGGCCTCTTGGGCGATCTTTCGGCGATCTTTGGGGGCTCTTGGGCCGTCTCGGGCCGTCGGAAGGCCGAAAAAAGGGAAATGCCCAAATCCATCAAAAACCTTTGGAAAATCAGTGATTTTGGCATCTTTTGGCCTTCCTGGAGGCCCTCTTGGGGGCCTCTTGGGCCCTTTTGGGCCAGCTTCGAGCCAACTTCGGCCATCTTGGTGGGTTCCTGGCACGTCTGACGCCGTCGGGAGCCGTTTTGGGGGCCTTTCTGGGCCAACGGGGGACCCTCTTGGGGCGCTCCAGGGCCGTCTTGGAGGCCATCTTGGGCGTCTTGGAGGCCATCTTGGGCGTGTTGGAGGCCTCTTGGGCCGTCTTGGGGCCCTCTAGGGGCCATCTTGGAGGCCACTTGGGCCATCAGGGGGCTCTCTTGGGGGCCTCTTGGGCGATCTTGGGGGCTTCTTGGGCCGTCTTGAGCCGTCGGAGAGCCGAAAAGGCGCAAATGCCAAAATCCTTCAAAAACCAATGGAAAATCAATGATTTTGGCCTCTTCGGACTCTCCTGGAGGACCTCTTGGAGGCCTCTTGGGCCGTCTGGGAGGCCTCTGGGGGGCCTCTTGGGCCGTCTTGGGCCGTCTTGGACTCTCTTGGGCCGTTTTGGAGGCCGTCTTGGACCATCTCGGGCGGACTTGGAGGCCATCTTGGGCCATCTTCGCGATTGTTTGAGGATGTCCCGAGCGAAACGGCCGTTTTTGGGCATTTTTTTCCGGTCGTTGAGCGCGTTTGGGGGCCTTCCGGGTGGCCGGCAGGTTCTGCCGGAGCCCACTGGGGAGTTCTTTTGGAAAAAGAACCAAAACCAAAACCTGAAACATCCAGCACGCCGTGCACCCCTGCAAGCAGGGGGCGGCGGATCTAGTGGCCTTCGGCCTATCCCGTCACCGTGCCTGGGTGGTGGGTCAGAGGCCTCATGGATGTTGGTTTGGATCTCGTGGTTGGCCTCTTCGGAGCCTCTGGAAGGCCGTTTTGAGGCCCCCCCGGGTCTCTTGGGCAGTTGCGTGGCTTCTTGGGGCCACTTTGGGGCCTCTTGGGAACCTCGTTGGGGCCTCTTGGAGCTTTTTGAGGGCCTCTTGGGAGCTTCTTGGGGCCTCTGGGGGGCCTCTTGGGAGCTTCTTGGGGCGGGAGGTGGGGGCACTCGAGTTCGGGAACACCCTCAGAGGCCACGATCCTCGCGAGGGGTGTCAAGAAATGCCCTCCCCAGAGACACGCGGGTAGCCGCGACAAGCCCTAGGAGCCCTCCCGGAAAGCGGAGCACAACTCGTCCCCCCCCCCCTCCCCCTTTCCCCGGCAGAGCCACCCCGGCCACCCCCCAGCAGAGCTGAAGCTCAGGCTGTAGGCTGTAGGCTGTAGGCTGTAGCTGAGGCTTTTTCAAACTCACACGCCGGATCGGCGGATTTTTGCATTCTGACGATCTTGAATCGCACCAGACCACCTGAATCGCAACAGAAGGCCAAAGAAAATTTCTGGTACGTTGATGATGGGATTCCGTGAAACCTTTTTAAAGTTTCAAGTGGATGCGCGCCGCTCTACGGCGATAGCCACATTTTGAAAAGGACCTCCTTCAATCCGAGAAACCCCTTACAATTTGTTTGAACGAATGTGCGCCGCGCTAGGGCGAGAGCCACATTTTGAACACGACCAGCCCTCAATCCGTGAAGTCCTTGCACACTTTTCAAATGAGTGTGCGCGGCGCTAAGGCGAGAGTCACATTTTGAAAACCACCCGCGTTCAATCCAGGAACATGTTGCAATGTTTTTAAGCGAATGTGTGCCGCGCTAAGGCGAGAGCTACATTTTGAAAACCACCTGCCTTCAATCCGTGGAACTCTCGCACATGTTTAAAGCAAATGTGCGCCGCGCTAAGGTGAGACCAACATTTTGAAAAGGACCCGCCCTCCATCTGTGAAACTGTTGCCAATGTTTGAGCTTCAGAGTCGTAAATGGTGAGGAAGTGTCAGGCGAAAGGCCCGGCCCGCCCTAAAAACTGGCCTCGGGGTGCGACAGGGATAATTTATTTAGTACACCAGAGAAAAACCCCAATCAGTGGATGGTTTTCGCTAAGGAGATCGTCCGGGAGCCCCGGAGCCCGGGAACCCAGAAACCACCGAAATCGGTTCGGAACCAATGACCCGGAACCCGGGAACCCAGCTCTACCAAAATCGGCGGGAAATTGTCACCTAATCTTTCAAATTCCGCTAGGACCCCTTCGGTGCAAGCACTGATGATTGGGGAATGCGGAAGAGGAATGGAGGAGGAGGAGGAGGAGGAGGAGGAGGAGGAGGAGGAGGAGGAGGAGGAGAGGAGGAGGAGGAGGAGGAGGAGGAGGAGGAGAAGGAGGAGAAGGATGGGGAGACGGGGGAGGAGGGGAGGAGGGAGAGGAGGAGAACGAGGAGGAGAAGGAGGAGGAAGATGAGCCCCCCTCTCAACCGTCAGCCTCCGCATTGGCCGCCCTGGTGGCCTGCCTGGCCTGGGCTCGGGCGCGCGGCTCGCCCCAGAGCTTCGCGAAGGGCCGTGCCGGCGCTGGAGGCCAGACGCCAGCAGCACGGCCTCGAGGCCCCTCGGCAAGACAGGGGTGTCAATCTCATGTGGTTTCAAAAAGGGACCCCAGGGAGAGGGACTTTGAGACGGGCGATGCTTATTTCTCAAGTCCGCTCGGCTTCGCCCACAAGGTTGCCGGATTGCGGTTTTACACTCGCACTCGTCGAAGCCTCAAAGTCAACGCCGCGGTCTCAGAAGTCCCTTTCGCTGGCGTCCTTGTAGGAAACATATCACAATCGAGCAGTGGCGACGCGCCCTGAATTGCCTACAGTCGGCCCGTATCATAAGGATGTGCGAGATGGATGCAAGGGCATTGGGAGGTCATCTCGAGGCGCTGCGAGCGGGGCGCGGCGAACGAAAGTGGCCAAGGATGGACCGAGGAGGGATGGATGCAAGGGTACCCTTGGGAAGATTGCCCATCCTTACTATGCGGGTTGGCTGTATAGACAGATCCACCGAAGAATGTTGTAAGAACCTTTTGTGGTTTGCACGCGAGGTTCTTGGAACGTTTCTGGCCGAGGCAGTCTTGCCTCAATCCATCGGTTACATGTTCAGCCTCCTGTTATGAGAAAATTCCGTGCTAAGCCAATAGGAAGCGAGGACGGTCGGCCTCTTCTCAATCAAATGGGTTCCAAGTAATTTGATGGGGTCGCTTGATCTCGTGACATCGCCGATGTATCGCCGATGCAGCTCGATGTGAAGCTCGACCTTCTCCCCGCTGGCGTGGTCGGTGCATGGTCAAGCTCGCCGATGTATCGTCGATGCGTCGGCGATGCACAGGCGATGCTGCGCGATCCTCCGACCCCATCTGCTCGGACCCCATTCGGAAGGCCTCTGCTCAAGCTAACAGGGAGGGAGCTTGCTTGGAGGTCTTGGCTTCCCCGTCCAGGACCAAGCCAGAATGTGCGCTCCAACGCACATGGGTGGCTAGGGAAGGGACCTGCCGCTCCTCCAGCGAGGCCCCCGCTTCAGCCGTATGCCAAGACCCTCCCGTGACACGGCGGGTTCCCCCGCAAAGGGTCGCAAAGGCATCGCTGCCTTGGGCAGACTGCGCACTCGAAGCAGGTCGTGCAGAGCTCCAGCCAGCGGCGCGCCGAGGGGGGATGGCAGCGGGGGCGGGTCTTCTCAGAAGGCGCAGGAAGCCTCCGGCCTTCTCTGAGAAGCTTTCCGAGCCTTCTCGAAAGCCGCAGAGGGCTTCAGCCGTCTTCTGAGAAGGCCTGCCCCGTCTCGCTTCCCCCCTCGGCGCGCCGCCGATCCAGAGACACCCGCTTCCAACATCGAGCGGTCTCGGACTTCACACGGCCGTCGAGACCCAGATCCGAGCCCTTCGTCTTCAGCCTCCTCCGCCCCCCTTATGGCCCCCTCGGCCCCCACCACTCCCTCGGCGGCAGCAGCAGGGGGGGGGGGGAGTGGCAGTAGGGGGCAGGGGGTCCTCGGAGTCCTGCGGCAGGACCTTGCGGCTCATGGTGCGCGTCGCAAGTTATGAGGTGCCTCATGGTTGGCGCAATCCATGAGGTGCAGATCACTGCACGCACAAGCATCCCACCCCCCGACCCACCATTTGCCGGCAAAGCTTATATGGCCATGATCTCAACGAGCGCATGGGCGCGTGGAGCTTGACCGCGCAGACAAGTCCATACGCAAGGTCGCAAGATTATGGTGGCGACGGCGACGATTGCGACGCCTACGACGATGTGGATGCCCGTGGTGGTAACGCTGATGCCGATGGCGATGAAATGTGATGAAGCTGAAGGGGATGGCGATGACCATGGTAACGATGACGCTGGCGATGATGATGATGATGATGGTGCTGGTGATGATGTTGAGAACGTGCCGCGCGCTGAACTTTCGCCAGGGCGACGACGCCGACGATGATGATTGTGATGATGATGATGATGATGATGATGATGCTGATGATGATGATGATGATGATGATGATGATGATGATGATGATGATGATGATGATGATGATGATAATGGTGATGGTGATGGTGATAGTGATGGTGATGATGATGATTGTGATGATGGCGGCAGCGGCGGTGATGATCCCGATGATCGCGATGGTGATGATGATGACGCTGGCAGTGATGTCGCTGACGATTCATTGGAATGCCTCCGGGGGCCTCTCGGGAGCCGCTTAGAGGCCTCTTGGGAGCCGTTTTGGGACTTCAGGGGCGTCTTGCGAGCCGTCCCTTCGGGGTCTCTCGGGGCCTTCTGAAAGCCTCCTACCGCCTCCTTGGGGCCTTCTGGGGGTTTCTTAGGGCGGACGACTCGGATCGTCCGTTCGTGTTCCCCTCTTGAGCCCTTCTTGGGGCTGTCTTTGGCCTCTTCGGCCGTCTTGGAGCGTCGGAAGCTCGAAAAGCAAACGGCCCTAAAAACATTGAAACCGATATGGCAATCAATGATTTGGGCCTCTCGGGGCCCTCTGGGGAAGGCTCTCGGAAGCCTCTGGGGGCGTTTTGGCGCCTTCTCGGCCGACTGGAGACCACCTTGGGCGTCTTGCACCGATCGTGCGGCGATTCGGGGCCCTTTTGGACCGTCTGGGCGGCCTCTTCGGACCCTCTTGGCCCGTCTTGGGGCATCCATGGGCCCGAAGTAGATCAAGGGAGGAAAAACCACCCGGACCGGACAACTGGCGCTTGCGAAGCGGCCTTGGGCGTTTACAAAACAGCCTTGCTTTGTTCGATTCCTTCTGTGGGTGCGGTTACTAAACGGCTTCGCGTGTTTGGGTGATCATTATTCGGTATCGTTCAACCGATCCCCAACACCATCCCCATCCCCTTCGAGACCCCCACCAAGTTACCGCCCCAGTTGGGGATACACCCCTCGAAACCCGAAGGGAACGACCTACATCTCCATCTACGGGGTTTTCGGCCAGTGGGGCCCAGGCCGCGCCGCTGTGGATGGGGATCGGTTAAACGATACTCAATTGTGGGGGTGGATTGAGTGGCGCGGCACGACGCCCCAGGCCCCCCGGGGACGGCGGGCGACCTCGGCGAGGGCGCTCGGGCGGGAGCGCCGCGGGCGGGCCCCCGATGTGGGCCGATAGCCCCTCGCAGGAGGAGGAGCAGGAAGGAGGAATGAGGAATGAGGAGGAGGAGGAGGAAGGAGGATGAGGAGGAGGTGTCGGAGGAGGAGGAGGAGGAAACGGAGGAGGAGGAGGAGGAGGAGGAGGAGAAGGCGCCACTCTGGATCGGGGATTGGGGGCCGCGGGCCCCCCAATCGGGCGCCTTCAGACAAGGAGGCGGCGGCTTGCTTCATGCCATGGCACCTGTTGCTTCCTCAGCGTCGGCAGCCCGCCGAGGCATCACGCTTGCGCAGTTCAACCCGCAGAATACCAACAAGGACAAGAGCCGCGATGTCATCGAGGAACTTTCTTGCCTTGATGCAGTGGGATCGAGAGGGACACAGAGGAGGTCTACGGGAGCTTTGGTAGAGATTTCTCAGAGACTGGAGAACCGTGGGGGTATTGATTTTGGCTGGACCAGAGGAATTCACACTGACAAGAGCTGGGGTCTTACACCGTGGCTTCGCCGACGATTCGTCAACGTGTCCTGCACCAAGGAGTGTATTACTACGCCGAAGAATAGGTGGGGACGATGTGGTGGAGTAGAAACCGAGCGGGGCAGTATCAGGCTAGTGTTCATCCTCGTGTACTTTGAGGCCCTCGTGCTCAACAGGTGCAGTGGGAGGAGGCAGCTGATGCAATGTTACGATGGCTCGAGAACGCACGTTGGGCACCTATCCTCATGTGTCAATGAACAGTTTCTTGTGATTGATGGTTGTTTAGGTGCCCGCGGCTGTGGAGATTGGAATTTCACCACGCAGAACATAGCGGCTCTTTCGAAAGCACACGGCCTGTGTGTTGCGAACCCAATGTGGCCCGCTGGCGATATGTACTACGACAATCTACAGACGTCCAAGGTGATCGACGTTATTGTTATTAGGCCCCACTTTTGGGCATCCGAAGTATGTTGCCGCACTTCACAGCGAGGCGCATGGCGACATCAGGCACACAGCCATGCCAAGATATGGGGTCATGTACCAGTTGGGATTGCTTCGTTACCGCAAGTGATTGATGAACCAGGCGGGCACAAGACGGCAGGTGAAAAGGCATGCTTCGGGCGAGGCCACGTCGATGATGCTACGACGAGGAGATCGGCGCAAGGAACTTATTCTGCAGCTGGAACGTTTCCTTTCACAGGAATACGATAGAGTTGCCTCTCCTCCAGCGGGCCGGGGTGGGGATGAAGCCAACCGGGTTCGAAAGCAGTTACTTCGGGAAGCAGGTGAAGCACGAGGCCATCGTTCCCCATTGTACACAGCAGATCAGTCTAGGCATGTGCGAGAAAGCTCAGACCCTCTCATGAAGCGCCGAGACGTGCGGGGACCGTGTTCGCAGGGAAAGTACTCGGAGGACATGGAGGGGGAGGAGCCAATACTGATCATGGAAATGAGGAGAGTGAGCAGGTGGATTAGACATCGAAAGAGCAATCAGTGCACTGGTTGCGGTACAGTATTTGCACATATGCACCAGCTCAGAAGTACCTCACGGCTGCACTACAGACACACGAATGTGAATATCAAGGCCGCTCTGAAGCAGCGGCGGTTCCCAAGTTTACTCGCGGCCGTTTCTACGAAGTCAGCGCGGAGGATCCTGTGATGCCGCGCCTTCATATCCCCAGCGCCCTTTTACAGTCATCCTCTGACAAGCGTACTATCGCCGTTGGCTTCCAGATCGGGGACGAGATTGAGATTCGGTCGAAGAGAACACTGACGGATGTCGTGGCTGCTGGGGAAGGGGGAGTCCGCCGACGCGGGACAGCCGTCGAAGGTCGCCGAGAAGGAGTCGAAGGAGGCAGATCAGCGCAAAGTACTTGTTCAGCTAGAGAGCCGTGCGCGGAACCTCGAGTAAGGCAACGCAGCCCAGATATATCTTCCCAAGGAGCATGCTCTAGTGGATTCGGGGGAGTGCAAGAAGTATCTGTCGGAGGTGGAGATGCAGGGGAAGGGGCACGCTCCGGGCAATCCAGAACTACATGGGCGGCTCTCTTTGGCACAGAACGTCGTGAATCAGGAAGATTACCCGCTGGAAGCACCCAAATACAAGGGAGGCGGCGCTAAGATCCGCACGATGATGCAAAAGAGGACATCAGAATATACATTGATGTGGATCAAAGAGGGCGGGTTTTCGAACATTCTCGAGTCCAAGGTGATGAGGCTCACGCTGCGTCTTCGGGGACACGGTCTCACGGCAAGGGACGCGGAGGCCACGCAGGAACTCAACCAGCGGCAGGACGACGCGTGGGGGGGGCGCATCAGTGGGAAAAGGTACCTCGAAGGAGCCCGATGGAGTCGCCCATCCACGACACACATAAGCTCGTGGTGGTCTTGTTCATATTCTGAGGGCTGCAGGGGAATAGGAAGCTAGGCCGCGCCTCCAGGGGCACACTCGCCAAGGGCTGCGGAGAAAGTGACCCGTGCCCCGTTGCAAGTTTCTGGCTGTGCTTCCCTGGACTGACTTTCGTTACTCGTGAATTCGGGTCCTGGGGGTTAAGTGCCCTGGCCTGTTCGGGCCTGCTCCGCTCGTGAGCGGCTCTGGGTACCCAGTTCGGGGTACCTGGAGTTGCTCGGGGGGTTGGCTTGCGTGAAGACTGCTGTGGGGTGGTGGGGGCGGGCTGTCGGGCCAGTCTTGACGTGCCATCCCCCCGGCGAGGAGCATGCGTACCGACCGAGCTAAGTCGCGCAGTGGCGCGGCTCCTCGGCGACGCTGATCAGTAAATTTTGATGTGCCGACTTGCGGGCGTGCCCAGAGCAGAGAGGATGACAGTTGGAACGTTGCTTGAATGGGAAAGTGAAGTGAAGGAAAAGGAGGGGGAGGGAGGAATAAGGAGGAAGGAGGAAGGAGGAAGAGGAAAGAGGACAAAGGAAGGAGGAAGGGGGAAGGAGGAAGGAGGAAGGAGGGAGGAGGAAGGAGGGAGGAAGGAAAAGGGAGGAGGGGAGGAGGAGGAGGGAGGAGGGACGAGGGAGGAGGGAGGAGGGAGGAGGGAGGACGCGGCCACGCGCAAGGAGGGAGGAGGGAGGATGGAGGGAGGAATAAGGAGGAAGGAGGAGGAGCAGGAGGAGGCGGAGGCGGAGGCAGAGGCGGAGAAGGAGCAGGAGGAGGAGGAGCAGGAGGAGGAGGGAGGAGGAGGAGGAGGAGGAGAGGGAAGGGGAGGGAAGGGGAAGACGGGGCGGGGAGGGGGGGGGAGGAGGGGAAGGGGAGGAAGGAGGAGGAGGAGGAGGAGGAGGAGGAGGAGAGGAGGAGGAGAAGGAGGAGGAGGAGGAGGAGGAGGAAGAGGAGGAGGGGGAGGAGGAGGGGGAGGGGGAGGAGGCGTCTGCGCCATCGGATGGAGACGATCGAATGAGGGGGCCGTCGCGGGGCGGGTCGCGGTCGGGTCGCGGGCCGGGCCGCGCGCGGGACGACGACAACAGCAAACAACAACAAAACGGCAGCATCAGCAACAGCAGCAGCACCGAGCATAACAACAACAGCAGCAGCAGCAGCAGCAACAACAACAACAGCAGCAGCAACAACAACAATGGTCATACATCCCAAACCCTCGGTACCCGCCCTCTTCACATTCGATCGTGCCCCCTTGGGGGTGCATTTTCCTTTCCTGCCACGCCCGTGTAGCGCGGCCCCTAATACAGGGGAGAAGAGGGCGAATGGGAACGAGACGAATGGGCAGGAGGGGGGCTAGGAACAGAACGCGCGGCGGAGCCAGACGGGCAGACCGCGCGGGCAGACCCTAGCGGGCGGGTCGGTAAGGCGGGCCCAGGCGGCCAGGTCGAGCAGGCGGGTCTTTGAAACGTGAGTCTTGCATGAATCGCTAAGAAGTTTCGAGCGATAGCGCGATTCCCGACTAAATCATGAGAAAGGCCAAAGCGAGAACTTGATTCCTGAGTGTCCAGGGCGCGGCGTTTGAATTAATTGTGAGGAACTTCCAGGCGGGAGCGCGAATCTTGCATTAAGTGTAAGGAGTCCCGCGCGAGAGCGCGGTTGTGGAATGAATGGTGGGGAACTTTCAGGCGGGGGCCGTTGTTTTTTGTAATCCGTGGCCCAACAAAGCAATTTAACCTTAATAGTTCCATGATTTTTCTTTGAAGAAAAGGGTGCGAGCCCGTGGGTGAAGAATACCAACGCGGGCCGGTAAGAGGGATGATGACAATTCTTTAAACATAACTCATGAGCAACAGCCATACCAAGCATGTTAATAATGATCGTTCCGATATGTTCTTGCTTTTCGACGCGTACATCCCAAAATTTCAGTACCCGCTTTCTTCGACTTCGATCTTGCCACCTTGAGGGTGTATCTTCGTTAACTGCCAGATGGCCTATTCAAAACATGGGGACGAGAAGACGGATGAAAGGGGGAGGGAGAGGCTGGAACACGAGTGGGATTAACATACGTGGAGTAGAACAGAAAGCACTTGGCAGAACCAGACGGGGGCGTGTCGGGAAGGTGGGCCTGGGCGGCCAGGTCGTGCAGGCGAGCCGTTGAAGCGTTAGTCCTGCATACATCGCGAAGAATTCTCGAGCAATGACGTCTTTTCCCAAGTAGATCGCGAAACCAGCAAAAAACGAGAGTTTGATTCCTGAGTGTCGAGGGCGCGGCGTCTGTAGAAATGACATGGAAATCCAACGTGAGGGCGCGATTCCTGCATAAATTGTGAAGAAGTCCCACGCGAGAGCGCGGTTGTGGAAAAGATTGTGAAGAAGTATCCGGCAGGAGCCGTTGTTGTTATTCCTTGGGACCAAAAAACACACGCTGAGCACGAACACTTTCCATTGAACAGTATCATGTGCAGCGGTTGGGGGGATCAAGGCAAGGATATGTTTATTTCAAGACAGAGAGGTCATCAACAAGAACAAACAAACGACTTAACCAACAAACACTAGCAAACAAACAAACATTAGCAACACACCTAACAAATGACCTCAGCAGCAGCAACAACAATAATCATCTTAAGACTGTTCGCGTGTTTATCCCAGACCCTCGATCACCGACCGTTATTTTCGTCTTCGATCGTGCCCCCTTCAGGGGTATACTGATCTTACCTGCAATGTATATGTCGTGCCGCCCCTATGGCAGTGGAAGAGGGGACGGACGGAAGGAAGGGACAATGGGCAGGCGGGTTGCTGAAGCGTGCGCCCTGCATGAATTGTGACAAACTCTTGAGCCATAGCGCGATACCTGGGGTCTCAGGGCTGGGTCTCTTGTGGAAGGTCTCTTGTGGTCGGGCCCCCTACCTGCACACTCCGACTGCAGGCGTGGCCTTCCCAGCAGCAGCCGGAACGGGGCGGGGGTGCCGGGCCTCGCAGGCACTCGGCGGGCTCCGTCTCCTTTCGCGCGTTTCACCGCGGGAACGGGCAGCGCGCGCGGCTCGAAGGACTCTCCGAGGGCGGCGCGCTCACGGAGCCAAAGTCGAGACGCCTGTGGCATCGCTCGGACGTGTGCATTTTTCTCGGCGAGGCCCATCGAGAAGCATCGTGGATCCTCTCGCAAGAGAAGAAAAGCAAACACGCACGAAACCGACAAATGCACGGGGAATGGACGTCCGAGTGATGGCAAGTGCCCGCTCTCGCCCACGTGTGATCCCCAGCCTCTTCTTCTCCCTCCCCTCGGAGGAGAAAAAGGTACCCATGCCGCTACCCTTCGCCCGTTTTCCCCTTCTTGGGCCTCCTGGGAGGCCCTCGTCGCCACCGCTGGATTCGCTTCGAAATTCTGGTCAGAACGCACCCAGGGAGAGGTCCGTGGAGTAGCGGGATCGGTGCCTTTCGGTTTCCCACCCCTGGTGGTGAGCGAGGGGGGGAAGCGAGAAGGGGAAGGCCTTGTCAGAAGGCGGCGGAGCTTCTCAGAAGGGCCCTGGTCTTTGAGGTTCTCTGTGTCTTCGGGGAAAGCCCCCGAGCCTTCTGAGTTGCCCGCCCCTTGTCACTCCCCCCCCACCGCGCTCGCCGCCAATTCTCCCTCTTGCCGCAGGGGGGGACGGGGGTCGACCTCACGCGTGGCCTGGCACTCGGCGGGTTCGGCTCTCGCGAGGAGGCTGAGTCTCTCGGGATCCGAGCGCGGGAGCCCAGTTGTGCCGCCCACCGTGAGCCGTTGCCGAGCTCACCTCGCCTCAGCCCGTAGACGGGCTATCGGCGATGTGGGTAACGGCGATGTAGGTTTCGGTATTGCGGGAACGCGTGGCTCGCGCTTTCTTACAATTCGCCGTGTCGTTCTCGTTTTATCCGCTCACAGACTGGAGTTGTAGGAAAGTGTGGTTCGTGATTTCCAACAATTTGGTTCCAAACATCACCGTTGAGCAACATCGCCGTGAGCCCGGCCTTGGTCAGCACAGATGCCATCACCAGCTGCGCTGTCGCAGCGCAGAGCCCGTTCAGTCGCGAGGGTGTGTGGAGGCGCGAGGCGAGAGAGAGACGGCGCCAGGAGCGTCGTGGTCGGGCGCGCCAAGCTGGGCGGCATCCCTATGGGCGTGATCGCGTTGGAGACGCGCAGAGTAGATGGGAGGAGCGCTGGGGCATGCGAGACCTGGCGTGATGGAGGAGGAGGAGGTGGACGCGGAGGAGCAGCAAAGGATGAGTAGAGGGAGGAACAGAGATGGAGGTGGAATGGGGTAAGAGGAGGAAGGAGAGGAGGAGGAGGAGGAAGAGGAGGAGGAGGAGGAGGAGGAAGGGACGACGAGAAGGGGCTGGCCCAGGACCCTCCTGCGGAGGAGGGAGGCGGAAGAAGAGGAAGACGGACAGAGAATTTGGCATCGCTCGGACGTTTGCATTTGTTGTCGGCGAGGACCATCACGGAGCATCTTGGATCAGTGAGCGAAGAAGAAACAACAAACAACAAACAAACAAAAAAACAAACAACAAACAACAAACAACAAACAACACACAACAAACAACAAACAACAAACACAACAACAACAACAACAACAACAACAACAACAACAACCACGACAACCACAACAACCACAACAACCACGACAACAACAACAACAACAACAACAACAACAACAACAACAACAACAACGGCAACAACGACAACAACAACAACAACATCAACAACAACAACAACAACAACAACAACAACAGCAACAACAACATCATCAACACCAACAACAAACAACGCACGACACCGAGAAAGGTCCAGGGAGTGGGCGCCCGAGTGATGGCAAGGAAAGGGGACTCGCTTGAACCCCCTCTGGCCTGCGAGCCTGCGAGCCGCAGCCCCTGACCCAGGCCAGAGGGAAACACGGTCTCTGATGGCCGCGCCGGGGCGCCTTCGCTGGCAAGCGCGTGGACAAGAGGAGCGCTGGGAACAGCCTTGGCACCGCCTGGACGTGTGCATTCTTTCTCGGCAGGGATCCTCGAGGAGCATGTTTGATCCTCTCGCGAAAGAGAAAATGCGCGCACGAAGCCGAACAATGAACGGGGAGTGGGCGTTCGAGCGATGGGGAGAGCTGACATCCTCCTCATCCCGGTCGTCCGCTGCTCCTCGTCTTTCTGGGCGCCGCCAAGGGAAAGGTGGTCCTTGCTCGTGTATTCATGGGCTTGCTTCCCTTCCACAAGGGCGCCTCGAAAGCCATCCGTGAGGCAGCCCAGTTGGACGCTGCTCAGGTAGCTCGTGCTCGCGCGCTGGAGATGGGCTTGCAGCCCCCATAGGCCCCCGCTCGAAGAAGATGGGGGCCCCCTGGATGAAGTTGATGATGGGGAGGAGGCCGCGCAGGCTGGCTCCGAGGAGAAGTACGCTGTGTTGGCCTCTCTTCCCCACGACCATAGCTTGAGGAGGAGGAGAAGGAGGAGGAGGCGAGGACCAATTTCTGGGCCTCCCAGATGGGGTCGGAGCAGGTGGTGTCGGAGGATCGCTCGAGGGGGCCGAAATCGGTGCGGAAACAATGTGTGCAAATCCCAGCAGCAGTTGTTGTTAATTCTTGACAGGATTCGTTGTTGGCGTCGCAGCGGTTGTTGTTCATTTGAAACAGAAGACCGCCTGTCCAGCAGCGGCCGCCGTCGGTTTTGGACAACTATTGCTGTTGGGTATCGTGCCCATGTCTTCCGTACCCACTTCGGGCGTCCAGAATCGCGCCGCATCGCCGATGCATCGTTGATGCGGCTCGCCGTGGAGCCCGATGTTCGCCACACCGACGGCAATGCATCGCCGATGCATCGCCGATGCATCGGCGATGCAGTGCGAGCTTCCCACATCTGCTCGGAGCCCATCTGGGAGGCCTCTACTTGTGAGCGAGTGCTGGGATCCTGACGGTGGCAGGCCAGGACAGGTACGGGAGGAGGAGGAGAAGGAGGAGGAGAAGGAGGAGGAAGAGGAGGAGGAGGAGGAGGAGGAGAGGAGGAGGAGAGGAGGAGGGAGGAGGAGGAGGGAGGAGGAGGAGGAGGAGGGAGGGAGGAGGAGGAGGGAGGAGGAGAAGGGAGGAGGAGGGGAAGGAGGAGGAAAGGAGGAGGAGAAGGAGAAGGAGGAGGAGGAGGAGGACGAGGAAGGGGGGGGGAGGCGAGGACCAAGTGCTCAGGAGCAAATCGTGCAGCAGCAAAGTTCGCGAGGATACCAGGGGGGAGAGAGCGTCGTCCCCGCGGCATTCCCGCCCGCGGGCACCCAGAAGTAGAGGAGCGGTTGTGAGGTCGGCGAGATTGATTGACAAGCGGCATGGTTCTGTGTGCTCGTCCGAGTGCTCCTTTGAGCGACTGAGATTCTGCAACGCCATCTTCCGCATGGAACGTGTTGCGTTGCCGTGCGAGTCTTGGCATGCGGTTAGTCTGTCTGCTTTGGTCGCTTCTCCGGAGCGCTGCCTCGATTCGCCCTATTTCTGCGAGTATGCGGTGCCTTGCTTTCCGTTCCCTTCTGCAGTTCTGCGCCGTGCCGATTTGATGTGTTCTTTCCCGAGTTGCCTCCTGTATCCTGACGCGACGATCGGGCAGCTGCTCCGTAGGAGGTAGCAGTCACGAAGTTGAATTTGTTGTAGCAAGCCGTGGGGTTTTAGGGCACCATCGACCTCTCTTCGCTCTGCTGGAGCGCCGCTTGGCGCGAGGCGTGCGTTCGCCTCGTCCCCTCCCCCCCCACAGGCCAGCATCCCCAGCTCGGCCACATCATTCGATTTGAAGGCAGACCCTCCCCGCTGAGTAGCAGTACCGTCTCGGCGCGTGCTGCCGTCCTGTTCCGATCCGTCGCCAGGGAGGAAGCGGCTCCTGGGGGCTCTTCTCCGATGTCGGATTTGGGATGAGCTGGCCTGGGGTCCAGGACCCGTTTCCCTCCGCCGGTTCCCCTCGGCCCGTTGACCCTCGGCGTTGGGGGTGCCGTCCCCCATGCGGGAGCCGGCGGCGCTGCAGGAGCATGTCGCGAGACCCTCTCGCTGCTGGGCGTGGACGGGTGTGCATCTGAGCGCGATCTCGACACCCTTCCCCCCGGGGCCAGCGTTTCATCCCGAGGCGTTCCCTGATTCCAGGCATCCCAAGGGGTGTCCGAGCAGACAAAGGGGCCAGAGGATCGCGCCGCATCGCCGATGCATCGTCGATTCGGCTCGATGTGGAGCTTCATTTTCTCCACCGAGGTCGCTGATGCATCGCCGACTTCGCCGACGCATCGGTGATGAATTGTCGATGCGCTGATGATGCGGCGTGATTCTCCGACCCTTCCTACTCCGACCCCATCTGGGAGGCCTCCACTGATGGCCCCAGGGGCCAACACACAGTCCCTCGGGGCCCCAGGGGCTGAACGTGGCTGTGGCGCTCAGATCTGAGGCGAGGAGCACCGAGGAGGAAGGAGTTGCACGAACAAATTTTCGGAGGTCCGCGCGGATTTGTTGGATCTGCGCTGGGCCCCCCTGGCGGCGCCTCCGTGCCTGGGTTGTGGGTTAGAGGTCTCTTGGAGGCAGTTTCGAGGCCCCTTGGGGGCCGTTCGGGGCCTCTTAGGGGCCTCCTTTCGAGCCTCTTGGGGGCCTCGTGGGGCCTCTCTCTCCCAGGCGCGCGCGCGTTACTCCTTGCCGGGGGGTCCGAGCCACCCGCCGCGCTGCCGCACGCGACCCTTGCGGCTCAAGCACCAATTCTGTAACTGGAGTCCTCCAAGCCTCGGGGGAGCCCAAACCCGAGGCGAAGTGAGACTCGTTCGGCTCCCGCTGGCCTGCCTCCTCCCACCTGCCAGGGTTGCTCGCCATCCGATCCGACCCCCGAACTTCGAGTCCGAGTCCGAGCCCGCTCCGCGAGCTCCAGCGGCGCGATCCCAGCCCGAGTCCGCGACGAGCCGGCCACGATATCCGATACAGTCAACGCACCTCGTGAGTCCAGCAGTGGCGAAGCGTTTTGCGTGCCTATAGGCCTAACCGACCACGGGCGATAACAAAACATACCCCCCTTCACCCCCTCTCTTCGTATTATCCCCGTACAACAGGATTTAATTGTGGAGAAGGGCGCGGAGGCCGAACTTTCTAATCCACGGGGGAAGTTGCGAATCGAAGTTGCTATCATCTCATGCTGACTAGCAACAGCATCAAAAACGCTGAGCCCCGAGGGGGGGGTCGACCACGCGCAGAGGGGGGTAGGGGGAGGGTGGCAGGCTTCTCGGAAGCACCCTGCTTCTCAGAAGGCACGGGCCGTGTCCGACGCTTTCTAAGAAGTAGAGCCGTTTTCCAAGACGCCTTCGTCCCTCCGCCTACCCCCCTGTGCCGCCGCCAAGGGTGGGGGGAGGATGAAGGAGAGGAAATGGGAACGGGTGGCAGGAGGGGGAGGAGGAGGGGAGGAGGGAATGAGGAAAGCAGAGGGGAGGAGGAGGAGGAGAAAGAGGAGGAGGAAGAGCACGGGGACGGGAGAAGGACGAAGTTGGGGTAGGTGGAGAAGGGGCGGGGACAAGGGGTTTGAGGATGAGAATTGGCGAGGATATGAGATTGAGGGAAATTGAGTGGGGGAAGGAGGAGACGAAGGGGAGTGCGGAAGGGAAAGGAGAAGAGGACAGAATGAAGGCGGATCAGGAGCAGGAGGAGGAGGAGGAAAAGGGAAGAGTATGAGGAATATCATGAAAGGGTGATGAGAATAGGTACCGAAGACGCCTACGGCAAATCATCGCCGCCCCCTGCCTTTTTGAAACGCCAATGAGGCCAATCGCTTGACAGAAGTATGGCGAAGCTACTGGGATATGTGTTCCCCCAGCCGTTGTGGAGCCCCCTGGGGGAAACATTTACAAGAGCAAGGAGGAGGAGAGGCAGGAGAAGGAGGACGAGGCGGAGGAGGAGAAACATTTGCCTCTTCAGGCCTTCCAGGGGCCTCCTGGGGCTTCCTGGGAGCCTCTTGGGGGCCTCTGAGGGGCCGCTTGGGGGCCTCCTGGGGCCTCGTGAAGGCCTCTAGGGGGCTCTACGGAACCTCTTGGCCATCGGAAGCTTGTTGGAGCTTTCTCTGGGCAGTCGTGGGTCCCTCGTTGGGCGCTTTCGGGTTGGTTTGGATGTCTATCGGGCCGTGTTGAGGCAGCCTTGTGGGCTTCTCAACCCGTCTTGGGGCCGTCTTGGGCCGTCTTGCGGGCATCTTGGGTGCATTTGGGGGCGATCGTGGGGGCCTATGGGGCCGTATTGGAGTGTCTGGGGCCTGAAAAGGCGAGAACGCTAAAACCAGTAAAACAGTACAGGATGATTAATCATGTTGGCCCCCTGGAAGTCCTCTTGGAGCAATATTTGGGCGACTTGGCTGAGCCTCTTAGGCCGTCTCGGGGAGATCTTTGGTCGTCTTGGGACCACCTTGGCCATGTTGGAGGCGGTGTGGGTCCATCTTGGAGTTCATCTTGGCCAGCTTGGAGGACATTGTGGGTCGTCTTGTCTTGAAGGGGTTTGCTGTGGACATTGCGGTCTTGCGTTGTCCTTCCAGGTGGCCAGCGCACCAGGCCGAGACCCCATTGGGAATTTTCAAACCGACGAAACGGCCCAAGCGTCCAGCATGCCCTGTACCTCTGGTGGCACGTACTGGGGGGCGGTGGAATACTGTGGCAGGGTTGTGGAACAGAGGTGTCCTAGATTTCTGTCGGGGTTTCTTGGGATACCACTCGGAAGCTTCTGGGGTTGCGTGCCTCCTGGATGCAAGCCATATGACCCAAGTGAAACCCAAGCGGTACCACTTGGGCTATACCGATCCCAGCGAGGGTCTATCCCTCGTGCCTGGGTTGTGGGTCAGAGGCCCTCTCGTGGGCATCATGGGGTGTCTCCCTCTTGGATGACTCTTGGGAGCCTTTGGAGTCTGTTGGGGGCCTCTTGGAGGGCTCTTGTGGCGACTGTTTGGGGCATCTTGGATTAGGGGCCTCTTGTGACCTCCTTGGAGGGGCCTCGGGGTGTCTTTGGGGGGTTGTGACGGTCTCTGGGGCTATTGTGCTATCTTGGCCCAAAGGCACCGTCGCTTTCCCTCTCTTGCTCTTAGGCCCCTCTTGAGCCTCCGTTGGTGGCCCTCTTGAAGGGGGTACTCTTGGGCCCTCTGCGGGCTCTGTTGGGGGCCGCCTGGGCACTCCCGAAGCGACCAAACATACGAGAACGCTAACATCGCTCACACACTGCAGGACAATCACTCAGGTTTGCACCTCAGGGGGCGCTTGGAGCTTCCGTGGAACTTCTTGGGAACCTCGTTGACCGTCAGGAGGCCATCTTGGGCGTATTGGGCAGATAGTTTGGCGACTCGGTGGCCCTCTTGGACCGTGCTCGGGGCCTGTCGGGGCCATCTGGCCCTGTTTGGGGTCTTCGTCCTACTGGCAACAGTCATGTGGTGACATTCCCAGGAACGCAGCATGCCCCAGAAAAATTGGAGGACGGAGAACTGGTAATTCCAGGGGCTTGAGGACACACCAACTCGTGCTCGCGGCACGGTGGTGGCGGCGGAGAGGGGACGACGAGTTAGAGGAGGGGGTGGAGGCGATCTTGGTCTTAGGCGGAGGCGGAGGAAGACTGTAAGGATTAGAGAACGAAGGGAATTGAGGGAGGCAAGGAAGGGGGGCGGCTTAGGAGGAGGAGAGGAAGGAAGCGGGATGGAGAGGATTGGGGTGAAAAAGAAGAATCTTGAGGCGGAGACGGAGGGAGAGGACAAGGGGGAAGAGGAGGCGGACGTGGAGGAGGATGGAATTGAGCCAGCAGATGGCACAACGAGGAGGAGCATCATCATAATATTAGAACGCCTGGTGAGAGGAAGAAAGACATGAGGGGAAGATGCAGTGGATGAGAGGAGATGGAGTGAGGCAGGGGAGGAGGTGGAGGAGTGGGAGGAGGAGGAGGAGAAGGATGGGGAGATCAGCGGGAAGAAAGGGGGCAGTACAGATAATGGACGAGGGAAACTACAGAACTTATCATGAGTGATGCGAGGAGTCGGAGCAGGGGGGAGGCGACATGGAGGAAGTGGAAATGGAGGAGGCGAACGATGATATGGAGCAAAGCGGAGGAAGAGGAGGAGGATGGAGACACAGACGATGCAGGGGATGGAGAGAGAGAGAGGCTAGGAGGGCGTCATAAAAACAGAAGGAGCAGGAGAAGTAGTGGAGGAAGCAAGATGAGAGGTCTCGGGCAACGGTGAAGGACAGGTGCGAGGGGAGGCGGCGGAGGAGGAGGAGGAGAAAGGGAGGTGCGATGTTGACCATGAGGGAACGAAGGGGGAGACGAGGACGAGAACGAAGGCGGCCAGCAGCAGGAGCGGCAGGAGGAGGGGCAGAAGAATGAGGAGGAGGAGGACGTGAAAGAGGAGGAGGAGGAGGGTCGGAAGAAGGAGGAGAGCGGATTGACGCGCAGCGGGAGGGGCGGAGAGGAGGGAAAGGACGAGGAGGAGGAGGAGGCAGGAACAAAAGGAGGCGATGCTGCTGCTGATGATGATGATGATGAGGATGATGACGATGATGATGATGATGATGATGATGATGATGATGATGATGATGATGATGATGATGATGATGCTGATGATGATGATGATGATGATGATGATGATGATGACAAGGAGGAGGAGAAGGAGGAGGAGGAGGACGATTATGATGCTGATGATGATGAGGATGACGAGGATGATGAGGATGATGATGATGAGGATGGGGACGAGGATGATGAGGATGATGAGGATGATGGGGATGGGGATGGGGATAAGGATGAGGATTAAGATGAGGATGCGGATGAGGATGATGACCAGTGTAAAACCAAGAGTCATTAACGATGTTGGGATTCACCCTCCCTCCAAGCTCCCTCTTCATAGGCCCCCACAACGGTTCATGTCAATTGAGGAAACTGCCTCGTTGGAAGAACCGTTTACAGACCCTGAAACATGCCAAAACATTGGGATTTCAACGACACGTATCAACCTGACTGTTGTGTCCTGACGATCCGGAATCGTGCCAGAGCGCCTTTTTTTTTTGGTTCAATACAGCGAACCAGCGTAATTGTTGTACCCGCAAATTCTGGAATCCTTCCAAAACGCCATCACTGGTACATTGATCATGGGAACCCGTGAAATTCTTGCAAATGTTCAAAACAAATGTGCGCGGCGCTACGGCGAGAGCCACATTTAGAAAAGGAGCCGCCCTCAATCCGTGAAGCTCTTGCAAATATTTAAAACGAATGTGCGCGGCGCTAAGGCGAGAGCCACATTTCGAAAATGGCCCGCCCTCAAGACGTGAAGCTCTTGCAAGTTGTTACAACGAATGTGCGCGGCGCTGCGGCGAGAGCCGCATTAGGAAAAGGAGCCGCCCTCAATCCGTGAAGCTCTTGCAAATCTATTTTTAAAACCAAAAAAAACGAATGTGCGCTGCGCTAAGGCGGAAGACACATGTTGAAAACAACCCGCCGTCAATCCGTGAAACTTTCGCAACTGTTAAAACGAAAACGCGCGGCGTTAAGGCGAAAGCCATATTTTGAAACCTCGGTCCGCGAAGTTGTTGCCATTTTTTAAGCTTCGGAGTCATAAGTGGTGAAGAAGTCTCAGGCGAAACGCCCGGCCCGCCCTACAAACTGGTTTCGGGGTGCGACAGGAAGGAGCTATTTTTAAGGAGAAGGAACTGATGATGCTGATGATGATGATGACGGTGATTGTGATGATGATGATGGGAAGGCTGTGGTGTGGCGAGGGCGAGGTGAAGGATCAGGAGGAGGAGGACGACGACGACAGGAGGCAAAGAAGGAGGAAGCGGAGGAGGAGGAAGAGCGGAAGGAAAAGGTGGAGGAGGATGGGGAAAAGGAGGAGGAGGACGACGACGAATGGGGGTGGTAAGGAGCAAAACGAGTCTCAGCTTCCTTTGCGGTTTGAGATACCCTGGGCAGCGACCTTGCCACCCACCGCACGGCTCGCCCTGGCGGGCCGCCCAGACGGGGTCCGGAAACTTCAAAATAGCAGCCCACCTCGCCCACCCCACTCCTTCCCACAAAGCCCCCAGTTTTTCCCCCCCGCCCACCCTGGTCCTCCTCCCCCATTTTCTCCTCCTCCTCCTCTTTCCCCTGGTCATCCTCCTCGTCCCCACCGTACCCATTTTGGATCGAGGCTATGCTTCCCCTTCGGAAAAGGGCTGCGTACCGCTTGTCCGCGGCGGTCCTTTGTTTTCACGCGCAGACGCTGGTCCGCCCCAGGGCCTGCATGCCTCACTCATTTTCTTGCTGGTCAACCGTCTTTTTGCTGACCTGGTTCGCCGCGCGCACAATTTTTAGCTCCACCGCGCTGCCTCAACTCCGACCCGTTCTCCATCGCTGCCCAAAGGGAACCCGCAGTGTTTGTGGAGTTGGGTACGTCAAGTGTTGGCAGTGTGCTAGCAGCTGGACGTGGAAGGATCGCACCACCTGCTTCCAAGTGCGAGGCGCAGCCGGCACCGCAGGTCGCCGAGGTCCCGGCGCCAGCACGGGCATGGGCGGGGGCCCGATCCAAATAGTCAGGCGGATAGAAACGTTTGAAGCATTGGAAGATGTGACTCAACCAGCGCAGCGCCAGGTATGACAACCCGCTTTGAATGGGCAACTCACGCAATCAAGGCCAAGGACGCGGACACATCCAGAGCTGCACCATCCACCTCCTGTGGGAGAGCAAATCACCGAACGCTGGCACGCCCCCCGAAGGCCTCATTAACAACTGCGGGGTGTGCGTCAACGCGGGCCCCGCGTTCCAGCAGGCTCTCGCGTTCCTCTGGGCAAAAGCGACGGGAAGAAGCCAGGCCGCAGCGGCCTTATCAGCGCAAACCAAACCTGAGGCGACGCCAACTGCAGAATTCAAGTACGGCGCAGCAAAACACGAAAAAATGTATGACCAGAAGGCCTACACGGAGGCGGCGGCCATCTCGCGTCGCGAGGCATTCGCTCGCGCGACAAAGGACCCGCCAGATGACCACGGCGGCGGCGGTGGCGCGCCCGAGACTAAGGATGAATCCGAGCATTTCGAGGCCAAGCTCGAGCGTGGCCCATCCATTTTCGACGGCCCCGAGGAATGCGAAACTCAGGAGAAGGAGCTGGCGACAATAGAACAATCGAAAGCAGAGATGGGCCATCGTCAAACGGGCCACTTTAGCTCGTTCGAGGCGAAACCCATGTACACCACCATCGCTCAGAAACACACGAAGGCGGCCACTGCGGCAGCCCCGCAGCAGAAGCGTAAAGTCGGCGAAGAAGGTTTCCTGGCTGCCGCGCCCGACGAGGAGCCCAGCAGCCAGCCCGAGGCAGCCGAGCCCACCCGACAGACAGGGAGGGGCTATTCTTGCAATCTGCCTCGTGCGTTTCAGTAGGGAAACGATTTGTTCAACAGTGCTGCGGCGAGACTCCCCGGCCCAGGCGCGCAGCACAGTCGCGGGCTCTAATCTCCGCGAGGGCGCCCGACGCAGCGGCGAGAAGGAATGCGGGACACGGCCCTCGAAGAAATTCAATATGCATCGAGCTGAACCGCGCGCGCCTTCGGATACCTGCCCGAACGCGGCCGGGACCTGCGCGAATCCCTTGCCCTCCACCCCCTTGCTTCGCCCGCCCCCGCGCTTCGCCCGCCCTCGAGATTCGCGCGCGGGCGCAGGCGGGGGGCTTCAAGTGGCCCCCCAGCCGGAGACAGCAATCGAGGACGCATCGCCCACGCATGGCCAATAGAGACGCCATTGCCGGGGCCCTGCTGCGCCCGACCCCCGCGCTCGCTCTCCAAGGGCCCCTTATGCAATATTTGCGCAAGGGGCTCGGGGACATTGCCATTCGCGTTCCACGGCGCGATGGCGGACGCCGCTAGACGAAGGGCGGGGGGGGCGCCGCCATTCCCCAGAGCCGCGGCTGGCCCCCGTCGCCCGGCCGAGAGGCGCCCGATAAAGGCTCCGGGACGGCCCCCCGCGGCCATCCGAAGCCACGCAGGGCGCGCGCGCCCCGGAAAACGAAACGATCGCTTCGCATTTCGGAAAGTCACGCGGGGCGCCCCCGAGAGCGCAGAGGGGCGCCCGGGGCCGCCGGGAATTCTGGGCCCGCTGGCTGCAAAAGGAGCCCTGCAGGGCCCTTTACTTCACCCCTCATTTAGGTCACTCTCCACTACAAACTGCCTTGATGTGGCGACCGACGCTGATATCTGTGGCACGCGCCCATACATTCTGCGCAAAGGTGACGCCCCCTGGCGCAGGAGCGAAACAAGGCCGCACGCATACATGAACCTACGCTGGTTTCGAAAGACCGCATTGCGGGAGCGTTCGTATGTTCGCATCGCGAGTCTGGTCTCACGGATTCAGGGGCCGCATTCATATGCGCAGTTGGGCGCGTACGTTCCTTGTGGGTTCCCTGCCTCGCGTCGCGTCCATTTTGCGAGCGATAGCCAGGACTTCTGCGGCGAGGCGGTCGGGGCCTTTGCTTGCGTCTGCCCAGCGGCGAGCCCAGGACGGAAGTGAACAGGAAAAGGCTTTTTTTCAAAAGGCTCGGAAGTCCCCCGGCCTTTTGCAAAAGTTTGTGTGCCTTCTCCGACGACGCGGAAACATTGTCAGAAGGCTCGCGGGTTCTTTAGAAGTTCCGCCGCCTTCTGGGCAGACATTGTCCTTTTCACTTCCCCTTTTGCTCGCCGCCGATCTGCGCCGCGCCTCCTGCCCAGCGGTCTCCTCGCAGCGGCCTCTTCCGAGGCCGAGAGGGGAAGGGAAAATAGCAAGCTCTTGCCCGCCTCCGCCAACCAGTGTATTACATTGGCGCGGATTTGTTTGTTGGCCGATCCAGCAATACAGTCAACGCGCCCAGTAAGGACGCGCGCCTTCATCTACGGTACCATGGTGTCCTTGCTTCTGCGGCCCGTCCTTTGCCGTTTTGACTGGTCGCCCGCCGCCCAGCAGATCCCAAGTTCGGCCTCCAAGGGTCTTGCGTCCTTACCACCCGTCCTTAAAACACGTTTTGATTGTACGGTCGGACCGAGGTGTAAGATCGAGGTCGGTTCGGGGAGGGTGCTCATAACGTTTTTCGTCTGTGTTGGATGTTTTTGTGCATCCTGGGGGAGGGTACCCTCGAACGTTTTTCCTTTGGCCAGCGGAGGGCCTCACATTCTTAAAAGATGTGTTTTTTTTTCTGACCTAGGTCTGGTCTCACTTCTGCAGTAGGCAACGCTTTCACCACTTGCAGGAAGTGGCAGTAGAACGTTCCCCTCAAATCTGCCATGCGCCAGGCTGATGGCTCACAGGGTTGGCGCACAAGCTCGATGGCCCGCCCCAAACCGAAAAGCTTGCCAGGGAGCGTGCATGGGCCATCTCTCAGTGACGGAGCGAGCGAGCGAGCGAGAATTGTAGATAGGAAGGCGCGCAGGCCACAGAGGCCTGCGAGCATCCCACCGCTGGGCCGAGCTGCGGCCGCAGAGTGGGCACGGGTAGGGTGGAGGAAACACGCCCGTCGTTCCAAGTGTGGATTTACAGATCCCAATGTATTTCAAGCGCCTTCCTTTTTCAATCATCGACATGTTGTTGTTGCTATCATTTTGGCGGGTCCGAGCCCACCGCCTTCCAACTTCATGTTTCTACCTACGTATTTCTTCCGACCGACTGGTAGTCGCTGGAGGCTGCCATGTTAGTCTCTTGCCTTCGGCTGTGGGCCAGAGCGGCTGTCTTCCTCTGTCCGCGAGTCTAGTCTGATAATCCTCATCTTCGTTCCCCCTCGCCCCCTCATCCCCTTTCCTTCATGCCTCCCTTTCTCCTCCGTCGTGCCTGCCCCCCGCGTTCGTCCTTCCCGCCGACTTCCACTTCCACCCTCCCTCGCTATCGTCACTTGTCCCCCCCTCCTCACCCGTTCACCCTCCGCCTCTTGTCTCCTCCATCGCCCAGGCGCCCCCGCGCGCAACAGCCAACACACCGATGATGCCCCGCTGCCTCGTCTCGACGGCCTGCCTGACCCTCTCCCTGTGCGCGTCACGAGCCCTGAAGTTCGGCGACGGCCCACACGATCCCAGGTCGGTCATCGAGGTGGAGCTGTACCACGTCGCCTTTGGGAAGAACAAGGCGTCAAGCGCCGAGGTCGTGGAGTCCAGCGCGGAGGAGGATGAGGAAGACGACGACGACGAAGACGACGACGACGACCACGACGACCACGACGACGACGACAAAGCGGAAGATAACCCGCCCGTCTGCGGCAGCTCTTGGTGCCTCAGGTCGCGGAGTGGGCACAGAGGCACGCGAAGCAGCTGGAGGTCGAGGTGCAGGACGCACGGCTCGAGCCAAACGGTGCGAGTTTGGCAGTTCCGTAGCTGGAGGGGGACGAGCACAGAACCAAGCATGACCGAGATCGGCTCAAAATCGGTCCCTGGTCCCCTTCCGGGGTCCACCCGACGTTGCTTCACCCAGGATCGATTTTCGAGAGTCCCCAGGCCCAAAAACAGCCTCCAGAGGCCGAGAACGATGAAAAACATCCTCGAACCTCCTCGTCCTCCTCCTCCTCCTCCTCCTCCTCCTCCTCCTCCTCCTCCTCGGCCTCCTCCGCCTCCTCCTCCTCCTCCTCCTCCTCCTCCTCCTCCTCCTCCTCCTCCTCCTCCTCGGCCCGTCGCGAATTTGCGGCCCCGCGGGAATTTGTGGTTCGCTATGGCGGGCGGAACGCGCTTGAGCTGGGGCATTTGTGATTAGTTGTGACGAGCGAACCAATCTGGGGCTGGGAGCATTTGTGACCCGTCGAGGCGGGAGTGACGCGCTGGGGCGTGGGTTGGGGAAAATTTGTGATCCGTTGCGACGGGCGGAACGATCTGGAGCTGGTGCCCTGCGGGCATTTGTTCGCCCCGTTGTGACGGGCGGATCGCGCTGGGGCTGGGACACCGCGGGCATTTGCGACCCGCCGTGACGGGCGGATCGCGCTGGGGCTGGGTGCCCGGGTGCATTTGCGACCCGTAGTGATGGGCGGATCGCGCTGGGGATGGGGTCCCTTGGGAATCTGTCACCCGCTGTGACGGGCGGAACGCGCGGGGATTGTGGCCCCGTGAGCACGTGTGACCCGGTGTGACGAGCGGGGGGCGCTGGGGCTGGGGCCCGCTGGGCAGATGTGACCCACTGCGAAGGGCGGGGCGCGCTGGGGCTCGGGCCCGCTGGGCAGATGTGACCCGTTGTGACAGGCGGAACGATCTGGGGTTGGGGCCCCTTGGGCATGCGTGACCTGGTGCGACGGGAAGGATGCGCCAGGGTTAACTAGCGTCCCGCGGGAATGTGTGACCCGTTGTGACGGGCGGATCGTGTTGGGGCTGAGGCCCCGCTGGCATTCGAGACCCGTTGTGGTGATCCGATGTGACGGGCGGAACGCGCCGGGATTGTGGCCCTGCGGTTGTTTGTGACCCGCTTTGACCAGAGGGAGTTGTTGGGGCCAGGGCCCCGTAGGCATTTGTGACCCGTTGTGACGGGCGGAACGCTCTGGGGTTGGGGCCCCGAGGTCACGTGCAGCCCGCTCTGAGGGGCGGAGTGCGCTAGGGCTGGGCCTGGTGAGAATTCGTGACCCGTTGTGACGGAAGAGGGACGCTGGGGGTGGGGCCCCGTGAGCACGTGTGACCCGTGGTGACGGGCGGAGCGCATTGATGCTGGGGCACCAGTGGCATTTGTGACCCGGTGTGACGAGCGGAACGCGCTGGGTCTGGGGCCCAGTGAGCATGTGTGCCCCGTTGTAACGGGAGGGATCGCGCCGGGGGGCTGGGGCCCCTGTGGCATTTGTGACCCAGTGTGACGATCGGAACGCGCTGGGGCCCCGTGGGCACGTGTGCCCCGTTGTGACGGGCGGGGCTCGCTGGGGCTGGGGCCTTGGTGGCATGTGAGACCCGTTGTGACAGGCGAAACGCGCAGGGGTTGGGGCCCCGATGGCACTTGTGACCTGTAGTGACAGACAAAACGATCTGGGGCTGGGGTCCCGTGGACATTTGTGACCCTCTGCGACGGGAGGGATGCGCCGGGGCCACGGTCCTGTAGGCATTTGTGACCCGTTATGACGGGCGGAACGCGCTGGGGTTGGGGCCCCGCTGGCAGTTGTCAAGCGTTGTAACATTCGAAACGCGCTGGGGCTGGGGCTCCGTGGACATGTGTGATCCTTTGTGACGGGCGGGAGGTGCTGGGGTTGGGGCCGCATTGAAATTTGTGAACCGCTGTGACGGGCGGAGCGCGCTGTGGCTGGGGCGTCGCGACTCGTTGTGTGCGGTTGTGACTGGTTGTGACCGCCCTGCAAACGCCCCTGTAGTGTCTTTTGCAGCGTATCGTGCAGATTTGTGACCGCCTGGACCTTCACCCTTTATCATATTGAAGTTACGGGTCTCAGAGTCGCAAAGCGTTTCGAGGCGTCAGAGGCTTCCGCCCCGCACGCGGTCCAGACGCGGACGCGTCTCCCTCGGGGGCAGAGCGTGGTGCAAGACTCCCCACACACAGAATATTAGCAAACTTGTTGGTCCACGTCCCCCCCTTTTCTTTCCTCTCCCTCCTTTCCCCCTCTCCCTCCTCCACGGCTTTTTCCATGTGAATGCTACTCTCCTCTACGCCCCCGAAGACCCCTAGGTGGTTCGATGTCGTTTTCCTTTTCTTCCTCCTCCTCCTCCTCCGTGATGTGTCATCCTTTGTCCGCCTCCTCCTCCTCCTCCCGCATTCATCCCGTCAGTGGCCATTTGGGCCCGAGGCTTTGCGTTTCCTACGGAAGCAAATGGAGACCGCTAGTCCGAGGCTAGACTTCTAATCGTTCTCATTGCTCCACTGCGCGAGCCGCCAGGCTGTGCAGTATCTCGCCGAGGCTGGCCCGCCCCAGTCTCGGCCTTAACCATCCTTGGGATTTCTCCTTCCAACTTCTCCACCGCGGCGCGGCTTCAGCGATGCCCTGGGGACAGCTGAAGCTCTTCGGCAAAGGCGAGAGCTTCCCTGTCCTGCCCTGGGCGCCATGGGCATGGTTGGCCCTCTTTGCTGGTCTTCAACCTGGCGTTTGGGCGGGCGGCGAGGCAGGCCAACGCGTCGGCAACGTCGAGAAGTGTAAGTGCGAGATGCGCGGTTGCTCCAAGAATGCTGTGAGGTTCTACCATTGCAAGCATTGCGGCGCCCACAAGCTTCCCATCGGGCAGAACACGGCATGGCAAGGCGATGCCGCTCTCCAGCTGTTCGGTCACGGTCACCTCCAGAAGCGGCGGGAACGGCGGGGGGGGCGAGGGCCTGGGCAGGCGCCGGTGGAGGTCCTCTCTCTGGGAAGGGCGACGCTGGCCCGCCCGGGGGAGGAGGTCCTCAGCCTCCCGTCGGGGCAGGCGCCACAGGTCTCACGGCAGCAGAGCACGAGTAGATGGCCGTCTTCTGCGACAAGCTCGGGGACAGGACGCAAACCGAGTCCCACCGCCGAGCCGCGAAGGCCCTCGCCGCTCCGAAGGAGGCCCCTCGGCCCGTCCAGGCCAGCCTCATCAGGGCCTACTGGAAGGCGCAGGGTGCCAGCGAGAAGTTGGAGGCTGCTCTTGAGAAGCATGGCGCACTTCAACGCCAGTTCGATGAGCAGAAGACCGCTGTCCTGGAGTTGCGCGGCGAGTTCATCTCTGCAGAAGCCGAGCATAAGTCCCTCGCCCAGCATCTGTCGCAGGAGCAGGGGCCCCCAAAGCAGAAGGAGGCTCCGCAGTGCAAATTGTCGCCGGATGACAGCGTGGACCAGGGCCGGCCGGCGCCGGCGTTCGACATCAGCGCGCGTGACCCGTTCATATGCTGCGGCCTCGAGCTCGAGGAGGGTGACAACCTGGAGATCGAGCCCAGTGCCTAGCAGCTCAAGCACGGTCTTTCCACCATGGCTGGCGCGCTCTTCGCCGAGGCCAAGCAGGAGGTCGACGCCCCCAAGGCGGCGCGCCAAGCCCACGTCAAGCGGCCGCCCGCCAAGCGTCGCCGCACTGGTGAAGACGACGGGCAGCCAGCGAGACATCGACAGCCTCGCCGCCCGCGGGATCTGCCCGCGCGCGCGCCGACCGCGTCGCAGGCGAGCAAGCGCAGTTTGATCAGCCCCCCCCTGGAGGCGCGCCATAATGATTTCTCGCGCCCGGTCGACCTATCGATCGCCCGGGGCCCGTTGGTCCGTCGCTCGCAGAGCGGCCTCCAGGGGGGCAATTACGTGTTTTTTTTGTAAATGCCATGTCTAATGCGGCGAGGACGAAAGAGGCTCACTCCGCAGCGCAGGCCGCCCTCTGGCGCATGATGGGGGTTTGCATATTTTCGCCACGAGTCAATAAGCAGTCCGACATGCTTGCCAGCGCTCCGCTGAATCTCCCGTTGCCCCCTCGCCCCTTGGCGAGCCATCGTGCAAGGCCGTCTCGGAGGCTGGCCCCATCTGCCGCCGCCCCCTCTCGCCCCCTCGCCTTGCCCGGCGGGCTCGATCCCTTCAGGGGCCCCCGAGATCGGAGGCCCTCTGTCGGAATCGCAGAGTTGCGAGCGCAGCTCCGCTCGTTTCAATCAGCCCCTGCACATGGCCAGCAGCGCGCGTCTCCCGCTGCCCGCCCCACAAGTTTGCAGCAAGCAGACCTCGGCTGACACGCGTGCTGATAATCTGGCGCCCCTCGCGATTCACGCCATCTATGCCAAGTCGCGGATAGCGCGGATGGGGCCCCCATCGATTGTTTCGCTCACGCAGTGCTCGCCCAGGGGCGCAGTCTGATTTCTCACGGGGACATCGAGCAGGCGAGCGCGTGGAGCACCCGCAGTGGACGGAAGTCGGCCCGGGCCCCAGCTGCCCCCGCTGCCGCCCAGGACACGAGCGCGGTGGTCGCCATTTTCGATCGTTCCTGGATGGGTTGCGCGTTCGGCCCCCACCTTCCAGGGCCCCCTCCTCTCGTCGTCAATTCTGCCCCCCTTCGCCGCGCCGAGGGGATCAGCGGCGCCAGCCTCGGCTTGCTCGCGAAGCTAGGTGCTCAGCCGTCTGCAGCGGGTGAGACGCGGGCGCGTGGCGCAGATTTCAAGTCCGAGCGCGCCGAGCTCGAGTCGTCTTCTCTTGCAGCGGAGTTGAGGGGCAGCCGCATCTTCCCCTGCCCCCCCCCCCCCCCCCCCCCGCCCACTTCCACCGCCGCCGCCGCCGCCGCCACCACCGCCACCACCACCACCACCACCACCAACACACACACACACACACACACACACACACACACACACACACACACACACACACACACACACACACACACACACACACACACACACACACACACACACACACACACCACACACACACACACACACACAC